TATATATATATATATATATTATATAAAGTTGGGATCACGTGAGACCGGCCTGTTTTCGTGAGACCATATTTTTATACTTGAAATTTCACAGCAAAATGCTGTGAAGGTAACCTTCACAGTGTTTTTACTGTGAAGGTTCGACTTTTTTAAACCTTCACAATGTTTTTGCTGTGAAGTTTCAAGTGTAAAAATGTGGTCTCATGAGTCTCACGAAAACAGGCTGGTCTCATGTGAACCTAACCCTATATATATATATATATACACCGAGTCTTAGCAAGAAAATTTGTTTGTGATTTCTCTTTTATACTTCCATTTTGATTTAATCATCGAGTCAATCTTTTACATCTTAATACTTAATTTTGATACAAAAATATAATGGTAAATCGTATTAAAACATAAAGTACTTTAATTTGATTCTTATTTTAAATATTATACTTTTAAAACATTTATTTTATATGACATCTCAAATATGTTTGTAATTATTTATCTAATGACCTTAAAATGATGAATATGATTTAAGTTTTCTTCTGATGTGGCATGTGACACCCACTTTTCCAAGTCTTCACTTGCATCATAAACATAAGAAAAAACCATTATATAACTTTTTTTTTAACCTGGATATTCAATTTGTTATGTGAGTCGAATAATCTTAAGATGATCATCTACTTTGCAGATAGCTTGGAGTCACCGCATTTGAACCTCCGTGGCCACAAAGGGATTTTTATTCCTCCTTGGATTTGAACCTGGGACCTCTTGATACTTTTGACCTTTGGAACCAAGCTCAAACCAATCAGGCACCACCCTTGTGGTTATATAACATGATCTTATGGTCAAAACTTTACATTGTAGCGTAAAAAAACTTTAACATTTAGCAATTTCGGTCCCTTCTTAAAGCTTAGATCTTCTTTTTACCTTTTGTTCATTCTAGGATACCTGATACTAAGATACATACATAATTTTTTAAAATAAAAACAGTCAAGCAAAGACCTCATTAACTTGTAAGGTTTTTATAACATGCATATCATAATAATAAAACGTAATATGTAACATTAAAAAGCATCCTGAACATTGTCATGCCATAAAAGTATTTCATTACCGAGATCTCCCTCTTTGTGTTGTATGCACTATGTGGATCCATTTTTGACGGTAATTATAAAACAATTATTATGTTTCAGGTGCATGAACAAATCGCATAGACCAAACAGGGGCGGTCCAGGGGCAGTGTTGATGATGTCGTTGCACTAGGCTTCCGATAGTCAAGTGCCTCGATTTATTTTTTTATATATTATAACGTTAATTATAATATAAAATAACATAAAATTCAATTGTTTTTTAACGAATTACCACGTTGAATTAGTCAATAATTGAATTACCTCGAATATCAATCCGACTATGATAGACAAAGCCGTTATATAAAAACTAATTTAAGGAAGGGTCATGTTACTATGACCCAATAAATGTCGCATCTCCAAATGCGGAAGACATCAACGATAAATTAAAACCTTCTTGTGCAACAATCTAACCACTCATCTCATCACCGTATCGCTAGGTTTGGTATTGGCTGTTTTCTACTTCAATTTTATATAACTCTTTTCATGTAAACTGGAGGTCACAAGGTGCATTCGGACAGCAATCATGTTGCCCAACTTACACCCTGAGGCGCTAAGAAAATAAAAAGAAACAAAGCTAATGAAGTTGCAGTTTGTCTAAGAGGGTGTTGCGGCCCCACTATTTGGAGGCGGATAAATTATTGCATACGTTACTGTTTTAGTGGACTAAAATCTTACCCGATAAGTAAATCGTAGTGTTAAATTTTACCGATAATCGTTTAGCAGGCAAGTATTTAGTGAATGGCCCCTGACAGTTGGTGAAAAAGCACAATCAACTACAGATTATCACAACATTGCAAAAAGTACGAAGCTAAGGAGTATATTAAGAATTGGTGGTGTGTTGTTGTAAGGAGTAAATTGAGAGTTTGGTGAAAAAGTAGGGACGGATCTAGAAATTTTTTCAAATGGCAGCACCATTTGACTATAAGAAAAAATTATAGGAAATTTTTTTCAAACTGTGGCATCAATTGATTATAAGAAACAAATATACATAATTTTTTCAATCTGTAGCACCATTTGACTAAGAAAATGACACTAATCAGATTCGAACTCGGGTCTGGAGTGGAATAAAAGTTTTGCAAACCAATTCTGCCAAATAAAACTTGTTCTAATCGTAGATTCAAAATGCATACGGTGGCATACAACAAATTAATACGGTTGCACCTTTCACGAATCTAAAATTTTTATACCCTTGGATTGGGGAATAATACGGTGGCACGTGCTACCGTATGCACCACTATGTGTCCGTCCATGCGAAAAAGACAGTTTGAAACTTATATTTACTTGCTTTCAATCTTGTAAATGATGGAAGGGGGATTTTTTTTTTTTTGGTAATTATGGCATTTGAACCGGTCCAAACGCTTACCCGGGTAAGCGTAAGCGCTTACCAAGTCCTATTATCTTATCGGATGAATATGGTAAGGACCAAGAATCTTACCCGGTAAGAGGGGAGACAAGGACCGAGAGTCTTACCCGGTAAGTGAGGACGAAGACTCTTACCATGGTAAGCGCTTACTCTGTAAATTGTTGCATACGATGCCGTTTTGGTGGACTAAAGTCTTAACCGGTAAGTAAGTGGTAGTGTAAATTTTACCGATAAACGCTTACCGGGTAAGTGTTTGGTAAACGGCCCCTAAGTCTATAATATATCTGAATCCATTTGTCACATGCATCTGAACATAATTTCTTTTTACTTTTATGAAGGATTGGTTTCGTAAATACATCATGGATTGGTGACAATCACATTCAACCATCTCATTTCATGAAGAATAAGTAATCTACTGATTTGCAAAGGGAGTTAAAGTTGATATCAGTTGAAATGAGGGATGAAAAAATAATTTAGGGGATGTTTGGTTAAAGGTATTAAGCGCTAGTAATCAATGGAAATGAAAATAAAAAGAACTGTTTGGTTTTCTATAATATAATGGGCTCATTCTTCCGGAAGCCCAAAATTTCATTTTTAAACTGGGGGAATGAAAATTTATTCGATTTTCAGGTTCGGATTATGGTGAGCTGAGACGTATTACATGGGGATAAAAATGGGAACCACACGAAACTTTCAAGGTGTGATGTTTTAGAGTTTGAAAGGGGTTAAGGATGAATGGAGGACAAGAGTCAAAGTCTTTATGGTGTTGGTCAAAATATATACACAAGTTGAGTTTGTGAACGTGAAAGCTTGTACTACTTCTCCAAAGACTTGGACTCATGTGTGTGTGTGTGTGTATATATGTATATATATATATATATATAATGGAGTCTGAAGAAGAACGTACAGATAGATAGTTGTGTGTGTATTCTTTAATTCCTGTTGGACATTTGAAATGATTCTCGTCTTTCTTTTTGTGTCCACTGTTCTCTCTTGTTTACCTCTCATTTGCACTGCTACAGATGATGACACTTCTATGCATAGCTTCCCAATTTCAGGAACACTTCTCGAGTACCCTTTTAACAACGCGAGTGATGCACAACGTGGGTTGATCCAGGTCGACTGTAGTTTGAATCATGAGGATATTCAACTTGGACGACACCCTTATCAGATTGCCGGAAAGCATGGGAATCATTCTTTCTTCTTGATTCCTAACAGAAGATTTGAAGAACTTTTAGAAAAGAATAGTTCTGATGCACTTTACTTTAGTTTCACTTCCCCAACTCCTCTTTTATTTTCCATTTCAATACGGTCGTTTATGACTCTCTTCAAATGCACAAAGGATCCCAAGGATGCTGAACAAATAGATGCCTATTTCATCAAACATGGTTATAATAGCCACAAAAGTTGCAAAGATCACAAGTTCTACTATAATCATCATCTCGTGAGCAATTCAACAGTTCCAAGTCATCTCCCACCTACATGTGAAGTAATACGGTTGCCAGTGAAGGAGCAAAGTGCAGAAGGCAATGAAACCGACATATTTTCTCTTCTCGCCCATGAATTCTCTGTTTCCTTTAATTTGTCATCTTCATGCCAAGAGTGTTGCAAAAATAAAGGCCAGTGTCAAACTAACAATGAACAGTTCGAGTGCAAATTCCCGGGTACTTGTGGCTTCTTTTTTCCCTTTTATCTTTATTCTGGATACACAAGATGTGCAACATATTCCTGAAATGATTTTACTAATATATGTCTAACTTACCTTTGTTGCATGTTTGGTTGCTGCAAAAGATCATGGCAGAAATCTGAGGCTGATCCTTATGCCAGGTTATATATCTCTTTGATTCGATACACAAACATTCTAATAAGAATTGACTAAATCATGATCAATCCTGCAGATTTTGTTCTCCCTTATGCTTGTTGATTATCCTTGATGATCTCCATAAGCATATATGTGTATATCTGTATTACCTTTTCTAGTTGTGTTTGTAACACTATAAATGCGTTATTAATGTGATACTATAATCCATCAAAACCATCACATGTGATACTAAATCACAGACGCAGATGACCTTTGGTGCGACCTAAGTCGCAAGGCACGGCATCCATACACCACCAAATCCCCTCAAGTGTATTATCACATGTGATAAGGATGTTCTCGCGTTCTCGTAAAATTAAGGTGGTCTTGTTTGAACCTCCACATATATATATATATACATATATAACATCTCTTTAATACAAATCAATCAGTTTCTTCTCTATCTATATTATGTACATGTAGGTACATGAAGGTGTTGCATTCTCTTAATCAAGTTCTTGCTGAATCTACCTTCGTTACCATGCTCTCTTTGGACTTCGGTTATCTTCGTATTGCGGGTTGCTATAAGAGCAACCCTTTTTTGTATATGTCACGTGTTAGGCCGGGAGATGGGTTGATTTGATGATCAAGATGAAAACCAAAATTAAGATTGATACGGACGATGGAGCCAGAAGCTTCTCTGTATATCGATTACAGAACTGACTGCTTCATATACCTTAAGAGATTTACAGTAACTACCATAGACTATGAAGAAATGACGAACGACTATAGAACTATGAGATTGAAACATCCTGACACCCAACCCCCTCTCAAACTCAAGACGGTTCAGGAATGACCAAATTGTGTTTTGGAACAAGTGCGTGAAAACATTCCATTAGATCTACTTCGGTGAAAACAGTAGCCAACTCATCAATTGAAACGATGGGAAAACAGTTAACATTTTTCCCAACCACTAGTTAATGCACAAGTGGGCAATATATCTCAATGTGTTTTTTTTCATTTATGAAACACATCATTTTAGAAATTTGTATAGCACTCTGGCTATACGACAGTCACAGAGGTCTAGGAAGTACACATGAATGAAGGAAACTACCAAAACCAAATGAGTTTTTTAGTCTCGGCAAAAGCACTATATTCAGAACCTGTTACTATGTTAAAGATTTTTCTGCACCAACATGAGCCAAGAAAGAAACAATAATCGCATCGTAGAACGCCGATTAGTCAAGTAGCTACTCCGGTTAGCATCTGAATAACCCCATACTTCCACACAAGAGAAGTGTAGCCCATTAATAAGCACCTTTAAGGTAGCGGAGAATCTGAAAAACAACTACATAATAATCAGTATAAGAAACAGATATGAAATGTGCAAAACAAAGGCTAGATCAGGCCCAGTAACTGTGAGGTACGCCAAGGAACACACGACTTGTCAATATATAGTCGGATCACAAAGAGAATTTACACCTAAGTGAGGTGAACATTTGGCTTCCTGGGTATAGAAGTTGTTCTGTCAGTAATGACTACTAGCTAAAGAATATTGGACACATACCTTGCTTGACAAACAAGTAGATACTCAAGAAGTCAAAGAACTTCAATCCCAAAACAACAGGAAGGTCAAGATCTTTCATTTAATGGAAAAAAACATATAGAGCCTTTGAGAATAGCAAAATCTGTTAAATGGTGTAACCTAGACTTGGTGGGTTAAGATAGTTATTTAACTTAGCGGTTGCTAACTGCTATGTAACTGTCAATCTAAAACCAAAGATAACTAATATTGAAACACTTGATTCACATAAACATCACTTTTTATTATATGAACAAAGATTGTACAGAATTACATCATAAGACAAACAAATGAAAGACAAAGATTATAAAGGAACATAACCAACACAACGGTTTAGACTGAAGAGAGGCAACGATTCACAGAGAAGACTTTGGCGGGAAAGGAAATTGCCATCAACTGTCATAACGGCAATTTAACGGACATGACGCCAAACTGCTAAATCTTGTTAATTAACTAACTGGAAACAGAAGTTTGGCTTATTCTTCAACATTCCCCCATAAGCTTAACTTCATGAACTCCCAATTCCTTTTTCAGAATCATAAAACTCCCACGTTTAAAGGATTTGGCGAGTATATTAGCAACTTGATCTTGAGACTTGCAAAACAGAACATCAACTTCGTTGTGATGAATAAGCTCCCTGATAAAGCGAAATTTAATCCGTATGTGCTTGCTTCTTCCATGATAAACAGGGTTCCTAGTCAATGAGATAGCAGATTTATTATCACAATAAATCTGTGTGCAGGAACTTTGTGGAATTCCCAATTCCTCCACGATACCTCTAAGCCACAAAGCCTGACAAACTGTGGAGGATAAAACCATGTATTCTGCCTCTGTAGAGGACAGGGCAACAACCTTCTATTTCTTGGATTGCCAAGAGATGACACATGATCCTAAACTGAACACATACCCGATTGTACTTCTACTATCTACAATGTTTCCCCCATAGTCACTGTCACTAAATCCAATCAATTTAAAATCTTGAGAGTGATTGTAAGCGATACCATGATTGAGCGTCCCTTTGACGTATCTCAAAATTCGTCTTGCAGCATCCCAATGCTCCTTCTTGGGATTTTCCATAAACCTACTCACTAAGCTTACAGAAAACATAATATCAGGCCTTGTGGTCGTGAGATACATAAGGCACCCAACTAAGTTGCGATAAAGGGTGGGATCAACTTCTCTTCCATCCTCCCCTTCTGAGAGTTTTAAACCAAACTCCATAGGAGTGTCAGCATTAATACAATACTCCATGTTAAATCTTAGTAGCAAATCCCTTGCATATTTCTTTTGAGAAATGGAAATACAATGTGTACCTTGAGTTGCTTCAATCCCAAGGAAGTAATGCAAGAGACCCAAGTTTGTCATTTCAAAGTTCTGCTTCATTGAATTCTTGAAGTCATCTATCATCTCACTTGAATTACCTGTAAAGATTAAATCATCTACATATATACAGACTAAGAGAATGGTGTTACCAACTTTCTTGATAAAGAGTGTATGCTCATAATTGCATTTGTTGAACCCATGATCAAGGAAATGTTCTTCAATTCTGCTATACCACGCCTAGAGGCCTGTTTCAAACCATACAGTGCTTTCTTGAGATGACATACCTTATGCTCCTCGCCCTTTCTCTTATAGACGTTTGGTTGGTCAATATAAACATTTTCTTTTAGTTATCCATTTAAAAACGTTGACTTGACATCCACTTGATGTACACGCCAGATATATTGTGCAGCAATAGCCAGAATCAATCGAATGGTTTCAAGTTTGATAACAGGAGCAAATACCTCTTGGTAATTGATCCCAAATTGTTGTTTGTAGCCTTTTACAACAAGTCTTGCCTTATGCTTATCCACCTCTCCCTTTTCATTGAGCTTAGTCTTGTAGATCCACCTTACTCCTATAGATTTCTGTCCTCTGGGCAATTCAACCAGTTCCCATGTATTGTTCTTCAAGATTGAGTTCATCTCAGAATCCATTGCTTCTCTCCACTTCTTTTCTTGGCAAGCTTCTTCATAATTCAGTGGATCAGCATCTGCAAATAGAGCAAAATCAGCAAGGTTGCTTATGTGAATAGTTGTGTATTATTATAAAGATCACTCAGACTTCTAGTCTTTCTGTTTGCACAATCTGATGAGGATGAACTTTCAGAACTAGCATCCTCAGTTGAAGTAGATGCTCCCACAGGTGTACTAACAGGTGTAGTGGGCACATTTGATTCAAGATCCACATCAGGACTGTTTTGATCAAGGTGTTGTTCAACTAGGATGCAACTTCCATTTTCATCACAAGTCAGTCCATCCCAAGCCTTATCTTCATCAAATATCACATCTCTACTTGTGATAACCTTTTTGGTCAAAGGATTATAAAGTTTGTAAGCTTTGGTGTTATAACTATACCCAAGAATAACAGCTTTTTCTGACTTCTCATCCAACTTTCCTCTCTTTTGATTTGGAATATGGGCATAAGCCACACACCCAAAAGTTCTCAAATGGTTTACACTTGGCTTAAAACCATTCTAGGCTTCTTGAGGAGATTTATTTGAGAGGCTTTTGGTAAATAATTTGTTTATCAAGTAGGCAGCACAGGCTATTGCTTCTGCCCAAAAAATATTAGGAAGGTTTTTGGCTTTGAGCATGCACCTAGCCATTTCTACTAGGGTCCTATTCTTCCTCTCTGCCACCCCATTGTGCTGGGGTGTGTAACTGGGCAGTCAACTGATCATAAATTCCATTATTCTTCAAATAGTCTTCAAATTTCTTTCCTATGTATTCCCCCCCTCGATACGATTTGAACAGCATTTCCCCTGCTTCTTTGGCTATCTGCGACGCTGAGATCCTCTCGAAAATATTTTCATCCACTGCTTGATAAATCAAGAACATGGCTCTTTTGTCCTTTCTCCTTGATTCATTAAGTTCACTGGTTTGTTGTGCAGAAAGAGCTATTGGTTCTTCGTCTCCACTTTCGATGTCTGATTCTTCGACTCCACTTTCGATGATTGCCCAAAGGTCTTGAGACTCGAACATCACCTTCATTCGGATGCTTCAATGGAAGTAGTTTCTTCCATTTAGTTAGGACAATTGGGGTTGCTGGATGCTCTGAGAACTTGAAGCCATACGATTATGGCTCTGATACCATATGTTGTAAAACCAAAGATAACTAATATTGAAACACTTGATTCACATAAACATCACTTTTTATTATATGAACAAAGATTGTACAGAATTACATCATAAGACAAACAAATGAAGACAAAGATTATAAAGGAACATAACCAACACAACGGTTTAGACTGAAGAGAGGCAATGATTCACAGAGAAGACTTTGGCGGGAAAGAAAACTGCCATCAACGGTCATAACGGCAATTTAACGAACATAACGCCAAACTGTCAAATCTTGTTAATTAACTAACTGGAAACAGAAGTTTGGCTTATTCTTCAACAAGTACTATATATATATATATATATATATATATATATGTGTGTGTGTGTGTGTGTGTATGTGCCGTCTATGTATGTGAAGTGGGGAACAGATTTTATGCAATAAGAAATCTGATATTAGTTTATTGTTTGTTCTTGTTCTTATTCCCTATAGGGGTTGTGATCTTATTGAACAAAATCGGCAGTTTCGCTCCTTGTGGTAATCATATCGTCAACATATAATAGGAGAAGAACAGTGCATGTCTTTGTCCTATAAGTAAATAGACTAGAATCATAATGACTAGAAAAGCCAGAGAGAGGATTAGTACTAAACTTCTCAAACCAAGCTCGAAACGCTTGCTTGAGACCATATAAAGCTCAACTCAGTCTACATATAAATATTTTAGGATGAGAGACGCTAAAAGTCAGTCTCACTCTCATACATTTACCTATTCAAAAAGATCTTTTTTGAGAAGTGTGTTTTTGACGTCCATCTAATATAATTGCCACTTACATGTAGCAATAGTTAAGAAGCAGCCTACTGAAGTGACCCTGACCCAGGCAAAAATTATACTCTTTAGTTTATGTCATACTCATGAATAAAACCCCTGGCAACAAGGGTAACCTTTGTACCCATAATGGTCCCATCTGACTTGGTTTTGATTCTGTAGACCGATTTAGAACCAATAGGATAGTTACCTTCTAAAAGAAGAGCATACACCCTAGTTAGTGCTTTATCCAAGGCTTGATGCTATATAAAGATGGTTATTCATAGGAAAGTAAGGTAGCATAACAATGATAATCATGAAGATCAAAAGGAGGATCTTTTACCCGATTCGACCTACGTTAAGGTGGTTTATTTGTGCTAGAATCTTCAAAATCAACACATGTTTAAGGAGAAGTTGTTAGAGAATGATCGAATTTCAAGTATGTTTCACAGTTTCAGAAATATAAGAGAATATGATCGACTTAGTAGCTGAAGTGGTGTCAAGTGAAACACAATACGTGGAGATTAGATAATAGGTTAGTAAAGTGAAATTTAAAGGAAAAAAGCATCTATGAAGAAAGGAGAAGAAGCACCTGATACCTGAAACTTTAAGTGGGATGAGAACATTTGATGTTCACATAAGTCGACATGTCAAGAGATGCAAAGGCTTTCGAAGATATGATCCCAACAGCAATGTCCCTTACCGCCTTACCTTCAACCTCATAACATAGAAATCAACACAAATGAGAGCATGGTTCAAGTTACGAACTCTCATGTAGTTGTAACATAACAAAGTAGACAAAACCCCATACTTTTTAAGTAATTCATAAGGAGTTATACTTTCGAGGATAGGAGTTGGATGGTGATTTATTGTGTGAATATCATAGAAAGCAGCTTCGCCCCATAAACGTTCAATACGTTGACAATAAGTCATTAATCAAGGTACGAACAGTGTCAAGAATGTCCATGTACTTTTTCCACACAACCATTTATTTGTATTTCATGACGTTATCAGTAGAAGATACTTTATAACCGAGAATTCAGTAAAAATCAAGAAAGAAAAGTTAAAATATATGAGGAGGTTCAGATTTATGTTTCATTAAGAAAATCCATGAGAAGACTATGTGATCATCGCTAAATATAATTAACAAAGTTCTACCTCCAGTCATGATGGGGAATGTGGTCATGGCCCTCAAACATTAGAATGTATAATGTCAAAAGGAGAATCAGTGAAAATCATTTAACTAAGAAGGTAAATCATGTTGTTTTCAAAGTTAACAAGATAACCAAAAAAACATACTCAGTTTTTGACATTTCCTGAGCTACTAGATCCAATAAGAATTAAGAAGTTTAAGTCTATTTGCTGACATGTGAACTAAACATGCACACCAAGTCACCAAGTGTCCATGGATGTAACACTCAACATGGAAGCAGTAAGATTTGGAGAAGAGAAACTGGAAGGCTGAGATAGAAAAAGTAACCCAGCTCGAACACTTCACCTGCTTTACCGCCTGTCCCAATAGTCTGTATGGCCTGGAGCTGCACAGTTGACCTGCTTAAACTGCTTTACAATCAGATGAAGAAAACGCAATAGTAAGACTGGTTTCACATAACTGGCCAATAAATATAAGGTACGTAGACTTAATTAAGGAATGAGAATTGATGTGCACACATGACCACCAAACATGACTTGGAGATGTGTACCACCTGTTGTAGATATTTAGGAAAGGTGTTTTGGGGATTCTTTAGCTATAAAGATATTTGGGTGCGGTGTCATTGTGATTACAGAACCTGAGTCAAATAACCAAGTCTTACCCGATATTCGTACGTCCAACCCCGGATATGAGTTGCATCATCAGATCAGCACTTTTCTTAATTAGTTCAGCAAGATAATTTACTGTAAGTGGATGTGGTGTTGGAACATGCAAGTGATTTAACTGTGCAGTAGTAGCACTAGTAACAGAATTGGACCAAAGCACAATGTTTAAGACGCTTCTTCTTTGCATAGAGGAATAGGATAGTTCAAAGGTTGATAAGGTGTGGCATGACAGTATGTGCACTCAAAAGCTTTGCTTCCCTGTAGAATTGGACCCACATTTCCACTGAAAATGTGATTAGTTTTGAATTTGGAAGTTGGAACATGCATAACAGTATCTGTTAGTGGAACACGAGAAATCAACTGAATGTCTCTTAACATATGAGCTAAGAGATAGCCTCTTCAATGGTTGGAAAAAGAATTCCATGAAGCAAGGAGGTGGGGATATTCTCATGCTGATCGATTACAAGCCATATGCAAATATTACAATTTCTACCATATGGGTTTGATCAGTAATGCAACAGTTCCATCACGAACAAATAGATGTTAAGTTTCTTATATTGTTTGCTTTAAAAATTATATCAAAAGAAATTAATAATGCCAATACCTCTCTTTAATCATATTAAACTACATAAATTTATCTTACTACATATAAAAAATGTTTTTGTACGCAGATATAGCGAATTCTATACTGTCATCGGTATTCACTTAAAATTAAATGGATATACACATATTCCTAATCAAAACCGTACGATATTATGATAGGTAATGTCTACAATGCAAAACAAACATTTCTAACATGATAGTTTAATCATAATGGTAGCTTTTCGTGGATGCGAAAAGCAAAATCAAAACAAGTTATTCTTCTCTTGGGTAATGTATCATATACATATTGTTTGTTCATTTTACCCACCATTTCACATTGAAAAGTAAAATAATTTTTGATGCTCCATTTACTGTATGTTTGTAGGAGCTATTACAATCTTAACCATGATAATCGTATGCTTCATGATAATCGTATGCTTTAGAAGGAAACTCAGTTGCGGAACAAATGCAAAGAATGATGTCAATGAGGAAATGTTTTTAAATAATCACGAATTCCTAGCTCCAAAAAGGTACACTTATTCACAAGTCAAGAAGATGACAAACTCCTTCAAAGTCAAACTAGGCCAAGGCGGCTTCGGTTCTGTGTATAGAGGAGTATTATGCAATGGAACCTTGGTGGCAGTGAAGGTTTTAAGTGAACTGAAAGGTAAAGGGGAAGATTTCATTAATGAAGTTGCAAGTGTTAGCGTGACATCCCATGTTAACATTGTTAGTCTTTTGGGATTTTGTTTGGAGGGCCATCAAAGAGCTTTGATCTACGAATTCATGCCGAATGGTTCCCTTGAGAGGTTCATATATGGTTGGGGTTCTTCAAGTAATAGCCACCTTGGGTGGAGAAAGTTGCAGCAGATTGCTATCGGGATTGCTCGGGGTTTAGAGTACTTGCACAGTGGTTGTAACACACGGATCTTACATTTTGACATAAAGCCACATAACATTTTGTTGGATAAAGATTTATGTCCTAAGATATCTGACTTTGGGCTTGCTAAGTTATTCCCGGATAATAGAAGCATCATATCCATGTCTTGTATGAGAGGAACGCCAGGGTATATTGCTCCTGAACTATTTAATAAAAATTTTGGGCAGGTCTCCCACAAAGCAGATGTTTATAGTTATGGAATGATGATTCTAGAAATGGTTGGAGGGAGGAAAAATATCGAGGTTGAGGTTGATCATACAAGTGAGATATACTTTCCTCATTGGATATATAAAAAAGTTCAATTAAATGAAGAAAAACTTGGACTGCACGGGATTATTAGTGATGAAGACAATGAGATGGCAAGGAAAATGATTATCGCCGGCTTGTGGTGCATACAAACTAATCCATTGAGGCGTCCGACAATCACTAAGGTGCTGGAAATGTTAGAAGGGGATTTAGCATCGATCGAGATCCCTCCAAAACCTTACTTGTCTTCTCCATGAAGGTTAATTGGTTGGTTCCTCATCTACAAATCAATTGCATCATAATTTACCTGGACTTTGAAATGTTTGTGTAATGTAAGTTTTGTTGAAAACTTATATCCTAAATGAGTATTGGGTTGTTTGTGGTGTTAATGGTTTTTGATTTTTGACTTGTTAGTGATGGCTTAATCGCAGTGGTTGCTCAAAGTTTGCAACTTTATACCTCAAGACCATTTGATGTAAACCCAACACAATAGATCATGTAATTTATTAATAGAATGACTTTTACCCATTTTGAGACCAGCATATCGATCTGTTAGTGTTGCAAATAAAATTGAAAATTCATTAAGAACAAGTGTACTGTGTACACAAAATACGGGCATAAACTTAGCTATAAACTACCATTATCAAGTACAGTAGGAATCATGAAACAGATTAATAAGCAAAAGTGAGTACAAATTCAAACAGAACTTACCAAATGTCAGCTTCTACTTCGACAACTTCCAGTAGCTTCAATCCATCAATTACCGAGCAACTCAACCAACAGAAACTGATTCGTGTTCAGAGATTTTCACAACAGAAAGTCAACTCTAAAAAAAATACCATGTTCATGGAATTATCAGCTTCTTAGACATTGATCTCAACCAGATTGTGTGAACATGAGAAGCTCCATTCTAAGATTGACCTTCTGCTTTGAAACGTGGAAATCAATTTGGGAATTGATCGGTCGTTGGAGCTAAATTACCTTTTACCTATCCGAACTATTTAAAAATAGCACATATGACCCTTCACGTTTTCTTAGTTTACAATTCTTACCTACTGTTTTTGTTTAATAACAACTTTAAAATGAAAGCCAAAAATATTTTATTTAAAAAATGTTTGGCTAACTAGCTGATAAGTTAGTTTATAAACAAATTATGTTTGGTGAAAATTATTTGATAAGGTAGATAAAAAATGTAAAATGATCAAAAAAAACTAGTCAGTTACAATATTTTGTGGTATAATTAAAACAAATTCCTAAAAATAATATAGTCATTGTTTGGCAAAATAAGCTAGTTTATTTTCTGGGTATACTTTTGGATGCACATAAGATAACTTATTGAAATGCTACTTAAGTAACGTTTTAGTACCTTATTGTCACTTTGTCTAATTATAACCTTCATTGATATTAATTATTATTTATTATTATTAACTATAAATAAATATTAATAAAATTAAATATTACTAATTTAATTATTAAGTTTAGAGGTGGCCAAAATTCGGTCCCGGGCCGGGCCTTAACCGGTCCCTACCG